AATACGCAATATCTCAGATAGGAGTGATTCGTATCGAACTATTGATATTGGGTTTTGATAGGATATTACTCGATATCTCCTCACTGTGATTGTGCTATTCATCGATTTGAACATCGATTTGGTTCATTGGTTGTACTTATTTAAAAGAAAATATTTTGATTCAATATCGTTATATAGTTTTCTCAAGCGATTTTCTAAGAAGTTAACAATAAACCCGTTGTAGAATTTCCAATCCAGACATAGAAAAGAATTGTAAATTCTACAAATAATCAAAGAATTTTATACAATAATTATTAATTAATAGAATTCTTCATCCTTTCTTTTAAGTTTCTTTTAAATATACATTCAATATTTTATAATGTAAAAAATATATATCCACGTTGTACAATCATCCATCGATCAAAAAATCGCTCTAAGAAGTAAGAGTAAGGTTCAGTAGTACAAACTGATAATAGTCCGACAAATCGATAGCACGAATCGACACGTTCAGCTCCTATCAATCACTCAAATTTTCAACGGCTTTCTTTTCGCCATTTCGGTTCGAGGTACCATACGCCTTCTTCTCAAAAGAAATGCAGATTATCTACTGAATATCGATGTAAAAAAAGTGGGGTGGCAACGCACCCTCGAAGCAGATAATTTCGGATTCACGTCGGATATTCTCGAAAAAGAAGCGTGTATTCCCACAGTGAGACGGACGTGTACACGTAACCTGTGTATGTATGTATTTAATAATGTCTGTGTGTACGTGACAGAGAGAGACAGGTGTATCGATACAGTGTGTGGTTCTCGATTCGTCTACGATGCACGTGGAGTGGCGTATCTCGGATGCGCGTCATGATCACACAGCAAGCAGATTAACTTAGTAATACTTGTTAACTTGATAACGGGTACTCTTTAATTTTCATTAATTTACTCGTTTTAAGCTTTAGTCCACTTGAGTTTAACCACCAATTTTCTCGCGCATTTTTCGGTTTCTCTCCTCTTCAGCGTCCTCACCCTCGCCTATCCTCTTCCATCTTCACCCTTGACCAATCGTCAGTAATATATATATATATTTATTTTTTTTTTATTTTTATTTTCTATAATAAATAACCCAACCAGTCAGCCAGAATTGTGCAAAAAGGATCCAGTGTGTTTGATTCCGGGCACGTGCTATCGGAAAAAATGGGCAGGAATTGCTTTCGCTCGATTTCTATCACGGGAGGAGCGGATCGCGTGTGTATGGCCATTACATACATATCGCTTCTCTTGGCGGGTTCGAATCGACCGGGTTCAACGTTCAACCCTTAGGAAAACGACTCTCTCGTTCCATCTTGTATTCCACTTCAGGCTTCTTCAACGAGGATAATTATACAAACCGCACGGAAGGAAAATTCGCCTGTTATCGTGGGTATCGAGACACCGTAGAGGGTGCTTCCAAAAGGATGAAAGATACTTCTATTAATAAGACAAAATTTAACTGCAAACATCTTTCGTTTCCTTCGTTCGTAAGAGGGTTAAGGTTATTTTTTCCAATGTGTAGAAGCACGATTTTACAACGTTTGTCCAATTCTCGTTATTTCTGTTTCGGTGGCTCTAATTTCTTCCATCGATCCCTCGATAGGTAACGGCTCGGGGAATTCATCTTTGCAGGGAATTTTTCTCTCTGATGGTTGGTGGAAGTGCCCTTTACGATACGACGAGACCCAAGAGAGGCGGCGGAGTATCGGCAACGAATCCAAAATGTAATGTTTCCTCGCTGGATCCTCGCCAAGCGGCCGATCGTTCGACCTCGGTTTCCGGCCACGATC